CAGCGGACGCGTGGCTCAACAGAAATCCCCCGCGAAAACTCAACTTCGCCTGAACGGCTCATTCGCCCTTAGAGACAAACGACAAATAACACGACTCGCCCCAAACTTGAAACCGCCTACGAGATGACCTCGCTAAAACCCACGCCTCGAATGGCTGAGGTTTAGAGTAGAAATCTTAGCATCAAGTCTAAGAGAAACTACTCGACAACTCATCATACTGAGGGGTATAGTATGGCTAGCCCAATTCAAACGGTAATCGGTAAAGGCATATCAAACCCGTTGATAGCTGAGGGTTTGCTAAAAATCCTAAATGAAACCAAATGTACTTGTCTCGCCAAAAAAGACTTCTTTATTCAAAGTATTCCAGACCACACGCAAGCCGGTTTAGGTCTGAAAACTTTGAAGGGGGTCTTATAGACGGTAAAAAATACCTCTGTGAGCTTGCAAGAAATTCACCTGAGTGATCAACTCGCCTGCACGAGTCAGAATCAACAGGAGATAACGGAATTTCGCCTTTTACACAACTCGCCTACCCGAGTCCAAAGACGAATCCGCCCGCAAACCTCAAGGCTGTCAAAACAGCTGGGTATCCGCTACCCCGCGTGCCGGGGCAGGCTTTCCCATCCCTCTCGACCTGAGGGGGGAGAGCGCACAGCACTCTAGGACCGTCGAGTAGCCGTTCATAGTACGAGTGATCGGACAGGTGTCAGATCCACCTGAACGTTCATAAATGCGGTTCACCTCACATGTCCAGGTCGAGAGCTGGATCCGCCGGCACTCGGCAAGTTGGCCAGACCCACTCGAGTACTGTACACCTACTTCACCGCCTCTCCTGACCGGAAAGGAGAAGGCACCACGCTCCAAGCATGCTGAACGGCCACACACAGTACGAATGATCGGACAGACGCCAGATCAATCTACGAACTCATAAATGCAGTTCATTAATGTTGGTCAAATCCACTCGAATAGTGGGCTGCGGTTGCCTCACATACAAGGATGGGCCTTCCCATTCTATGTGACACGACATAAAGCACAATATCTCGAATGACTGTTTATAGTACCGAGAGGCGGCAAGACGTCTCTCAACAGGATATGGTCACATCACATGATTCAAGGAGCGGCCACGCCATCTCTCCGCTATTTAGGAACTTCTTCACCTACGAAGAAGGGGTTCGCAGTTGAGTTCAGTTCAAGTGCAGTCCAGTGAGGTTCAGTTCAGCTCAGCTTTTCTTTCAAGTCAAGAAGAAGAGATTCAGCTGTTTAGCTGTGCAAGCGATTCGCTCATAGTTGAACCAGCTGATTGAACCACTAGCTCTCGATCCCCAATACGATCGAAGCCAAGCTGTTTGCATAATCCTTGCATTACAGCGCCACTGCCTAGTTCTGAGCTCCGATCGCCGGCGAACTAAGCAGACCCGAACTCCATCGACTCGAGCTTCTACTGCGTACTGAAGCTCTCCAGCAACCTCGATCGAACGGTCCAAGGAAAGCAGACTCGACGCAAGCATCGAGCGAAGCATCCTATACCCACCTAAAAGTCCCCACACTAAACAAAGAGGGCATTCCCTCTGCTTCTGTTGTAATTTCGATTCTTTAGTTTGTAATAAGCTTTCTTATCAATACAAACGAAACTCCCTGTTTTCGGGAAATCCAAATTTACACCCTACAAACATTATTAACTCCAATCGGTTACGTGATTAGCATGTAATCCAAAATGGACAAAAATGCCCCAAGATCCGAATTAAATCATGACCCTGTCCATTTTTATGATTTTCACATTGCAAAGGGAAATTACCACAAATAACAACTTAATTGACCAATTTCATCTATGGTTTTAATTTACCTAACAAATAACAGAAACTCAATTTTACATAGAATGTAGCTAGCTATTGAAGTGTTAAGTAACCAAACTTTAATATCATCCCATGCTGACATATATCAAGATATTAACATCAAAATAGAAATGATTAGATATTAGTCAAAATAGCATTCGTATTTAGTTTTAATATTAGTCACATCCCCCACTCGACCCATACCTTCGCCTTTTCTCCCTAGCTTACAACAGCAAAGCCTTTATCCCGATTTTTGGGATCTGCTACATGAATCCTACATCCATACAATTCTTAATTGGATCATCTACTCCACTAACTACAATCATATCCTTCTTACATTGCTTCCAACCAAATCCTTATAGGTCTACCTCTAGACCTCTTCGCCCCTATTATTATAATATTATAATTTCTCCTAAATGGTGTATTAAGAGGTCTCTGTTGCAAATGACCAAACAATCTCAATTGATTCTCTCTAAGTTCAACCTCAATAGTTCATACAAGTACACTCATTTCTTATCATATATTTTGTGTATACTCACAAGGCCATTGTAGAATTCTCACCGCCTGCTACACTCATTCATTCACGTGCTTTTCAACGCCTTGTGTTGTCTAGATTGAATCAATAAATCCTTGACTTGTATTTGCCACAAACCAAAGTTAATCCTCCCATCAAACTTCTCAACATCAAATTTCATCGCCGATATTTTTGCCTTTGCTAGACCAAGGAACCGGGCTCTAATACCACTAAAGGCACGAAGAAGAGAAAAGAAGAGAGAGTGTGTGTGTGAGCTTGTGAGTTTAGAGAGAAAAACTGAGATTTTTCTCTTCTCGGTTAGAGCTTATTTCTCAGGTCTAATACGAGATTTGTAGTGTATCTATCTTTAGGTAGCAGGAAACACTTGGGATCTTATATTGAGGCTTTCTTCTACTGGCTTCGGGTTTTTTCTTTGTGAGTGTGAGTGGTAAAAGTCTATGTAATTATACCAATTTATTACATAGTGGATTTGTCTAAGAGCCCGTGGTTTTTTCTTCGATTTTGGAGTTTCCACGTAAATCCTTGTGTCGTGATTGTTTATTTTTCCCAAACTATTTTTGTTTTGGTTGACATATTTCCTCAAGGTTGATCCGGGGTTTAACGTGAAACTTTCTGAATCTCGTTTCGTTTTGAGATCCTGATCATTTTGGTCCCAACAAGTGGTATCAAAGCCCGGTTCCTTGGTCTAGCAAAGGTAAAAATATCGATGAAATTTGATGTTGAGAAGTTTGATGGGAAGATCAACTTTGGTTTGTGACAAATACAAGTCAAGGATTTGTTGATTCAATCTGGACAACAGAAGGCGTTGAAATGAAAGGCAAACCGACCCCGGTTTCAGTTACAGATTCTGGAGAATCTAAGTCTATCAGCGATTGGGAGGAGCTAGATTTGAAAGCTGCTAGCACAATAAGGTTATGTTTGGCAAAGAATATTCTTGCAAACATGCAAGGAGTTTCTCGTCAAGGACCTTTGGGAAAAGCTTGAACAAATGTATCAAGCAAAGAGTCTTTCAAATCGGTTGTACCTGAAGGAGCAGTTCCATACACTGCACATGGAGGAGGGTACAAGAATCTCAGACCATCTGAGTGTTCTAAATGGCATCATTTCAGACTTAGAGGCAATTGGAGTTGATATTTCTGATAAGGATAAGGTATTGCGTCTTATATGGTCTCTTTTGGGTTCCTATGAGCACATGAATCCTATCTTGATGTACGAAAAAGAAACGGTGATATTTTCCGAGGTCACCAGTAAACTCATGTCTGAAGAAAGAAGGCTTGGCAGTGATAAAATCGTTTCATCTATGAACAATGCACTCGTGGTCAATGGAGTAAAGAAAAAGAACTCTGGAAAATGAGTTTGTTGGGTATGTGGGCAATCTAGGCATATCAAGAAAAATTGTCCAAAAATGGAGTTGGTTCGACACGTGGCTCCAACTCCGAAGCAAACTCTGTGACAGAGAGTGAAGATGTCCTCTAATGAGGAAATGCGCATCCACATGGCATGTCCGCTAGATGCCATGAAAGAGGATGTGTTAGTGTTAGCGGGTCCACAGGCTTACACACGGGTACTAATTTCACAGTTTGTACAAGGTGTGTGGTGGAATGATGTCAATGGCTGAAGAACTCCTGGGGAAAGCGAAACAGGTGGAGTTGCACTATAATTATCTGCAAGTTAATTGACATGTGTTGAAGTAAAATTTGGTATACTCATTATGGTGGAGTATGGTTCTCGGTTTAGAGGATGTGGCACTTGTTAAACAAATAATAATTTTGACTTCTAGGTGGAGATTTGTTAGGATTAGAAGTCAAATTTGGTTAACCATCCAAATCAAAGAAAAAACATATCTTTGTAGGTGGCGGATGTCTTTTGACAATTTGTCATAGGCTAGACACTTTAGGTGAAGCATTATTTTGTGAACATTTAATATGTCTTGTTTTTCACATTGTAAGGAGCATAAAATGTTGTCTATATATTGAGGTTATTCTTCCTCAAGAAAGAGAAAAGAAGAGAGAGAGAGAGAGAGAGAGAGAGAGAGAGAGAGAGAGAGAGAGAGAGAGAGAGAGAGTGTGTGAGTTGAGAGAGAAAAACTGAGATTTTTCTCTTCTCGGTTAGAGCTTATTTCTCAGGTCTAATACGAGATTTGTAGTGTGTCTATCTTTGGGTAGCGGGAAACACTTGAGATCTTGTATTGGGGATTTCTTCTACTGGCTTCGGGTTTTTTCTTTATGAGTGTGAATGGTGAAAGTCTATGTAATTGTACCAATTTATTACATTGTGGATTTGTCTGAGAGCCCGTGGTTTTTTCTCCGGTTTTGGAGTTTCCACATTAATCCTTGTGTCGTGATTGTTTATTTTTCCCAAACTATTTCTGTTTTGGTTGACATTTTTCCTCAAGGTTGATCTGGGGTTTAACGTGAAACCTTCGGAATCTCGTTTCGCTTTGAGATCCTGATCGTTTTGGTCCCAACAAGACATTTAGATCCATAAAGCCTCATTGGTCTTATAATTGTATTTAAATTGTCCTATACACATGAAAGGAGACGATGATGATACAAAAAAACCCAGAAGAAATAAATAAAAACAAACAAAACATGCCATTGAATTTATTTACTTTGTGCTCCACTTTTTCTTACCTCTCTCAAAATCTCAAACAGAGAGGGCCATCTCGGCCCAATTAGGCCCACTTAGGGATCCAGGAACCCTCCTTCCTCAAGCAAAACCCTAACACAACTGTGCTCCCAATGCTCTTCCCTCCCTCACCGCTGTCTGCCACCTCTAGGGCTTTGTCACCATAACCGCCATGGATGCGCTAGCGCCTTGAACCGCGCGCCGCTTATTCATTAGTTCAGGGAACGAGAGATGTTGTTGGGGATCGAAGGGGTTTTTTCAGGTTTCAGGTTTAGTTGTTGGGTTATTCGGACATAACTCCCTCTCGTATTCAATAATTTCATTCTGCTACCTCTAATACTTGAAATTCTAGTTAGTCCCCCAAATCCAAAGCGCTCTTGCAATTTGCCTCGATGACCAAAATACCTATCAAGTATCAACTAATGTTTTTTTTCTGAACAGGAGGGTTTTTGTGGGAAACATAAATTTTGAGTAATGTTTCGATCATTAAGGGACCAAATTGTAAGAACCCTTGAGATTGATATGACATAAAAGAAGATTTGAGAGACGAGTATCTAAACCACCCCTTACTTTATATATTTAGTCCCTCAAATTATCGAAATTAACATTAGGTACCTAGCCAGATACGTTGCATTTGCTTAATTATAAATTCATACATCTGCAATCGATTTCCATGGTCTATATAAACAATATTAAGTTTCCAAATGTGCAGTAAACATCTGTACATTATAATTTGAAATATTTTATTTTGTTTAGACAAATCATGTATCTACTTCTCGATTATCCAAATGAGTAATTTTAGATCCAGATGATAATGAACAAAATAGTAAGATTTTTTTTTTAACCAACAACATTGTAAAGTTAGTAACATCTTGAAATTAAAGATTTAAAAGAACAAATTGAAAATTGCATAACGTGTCAAGAATATCGTCTAACTTAGATTCCACTCTACTAAAAAAACATTTCAAGAGAAGAAAACTAAAAAAAAAAAGATAAAATATCTTTATTTTTACTCATCCTTACAAATCTTTACTCAAAAGGAAAAAAGAAAAAGAAACACTCTTACACAGGTACTCCAGGATACAAAATGGCAAACCAAAGAAAAATATCATAAAAAAGACTAATTTTCTTACTTCAATATCTTAATTTATTTCCCTACTTTGCTTCCTTCTCCTTATTTGCTCACTTAATTAATTACTCTTCTCTTTAGATGATAGATAATCCTTAATTACTCTAATCCACAATCATGTTGTTCTTGCTTCTCCTCATCTCCTTTTTCTTCATCTTCAATAGTTTCGGTCACATTAAGCCAATGCCCTTTCCTCCCCCATTCTTCGCTTCTAGCCCGCTCTTTTGAATGACCCGATGTACAATATGTGCATTCTATGCAATAAAAAGAAAGAATTTAAATTTCAGCATTTCCCCGTCGATAAAAGAAGAAAACAAGAAATATTTTTCAGCCGATTTTAGCATATTTGATTTATTGTACCATGCCTACTCATCGACATTTAGTGTGAGGTAGCATGAGAAGCTGATCTTCACCTCCTCAGGTTGGATGGAATCGGAATCCCGAGGTGGTTCAGTCTTGGTGAGGCACAAGATTATTTGGTTAACATATTGCTAGTGTTTATATAGTTGAAGGTGAGCTTATATTCATTAAATATTACGGAGCATGGATTCAAATGCATGAACTCAACTTTTATAATTTGAAAGAATTGATTCAATACGTTCTCTTTAAATATATATAATAAAAATGTGTGAGGCATGAATTTCTGATTGTAATTTATTCCATTCAATGAATGATAATTTTTTGATGGATATGCCTTTCTAGATTCATTCTAGCTCCGAGAAAACTACATCCCTGTTTTGTATAAGATATGATTTCTCTATATTCATCCTCATATGTTAGATGCATGTATATTAATATTTTTGTGGACTACCAACAAATAAACAGGATATAGCTTATAGATTTACATGTATATTGGAGGATAATTTAAAATACTAGGATTCAAATGCAGATGTAAGGATATTTGTGCTGACGGTATCGTTATAACTATGTCAACATAATTAAGTGGATTTAAAATTGATATTCATGATCCATTGATATTCTAACCTTTTTTTTTTTTTTTGACAACTCAGGCCGGGATCGAATCCAAGACCGTAAGACCCATATTTGAGCCTCCCGGACCATCAGGGTCACCTATGGTTGGTTTCAATATTATAACGTTAAGCTTGTAGCATGTCAAAAGCATTGGTGAACTATGATTTGAACAATTTTATTATATTTTTGACTAGTCATATGCATCATATGGCTTGTACATGATCAGCTTCTCTATATCTCTCAATTCCATGAAGGAATTTCAGCATCAGCAGCAGAATCAGGAAAATCAGGCGGCGGTCGACCGGTCCGGTCCTTCGTCGTTCCATTGGAGATTCCCTCGAATATCGAGACCCTCTGCGGAGCGGTCTTGGGGCAGCTACATATTGATAATACTGCCCTGATAGATTTGGTACACGGACAGTGAGATTCCGTTTCCCGGGTACTTTTCTTTTGAGATTCATTCGCACCCCCAGCCTGATAGTACAACTCATCGACGCTGCGGTCGGAGTAACCTATCGGCTGCTCACATGGGTTCTCAGGTATAACGCGTTCGTCTGTCCGACGCGTTTTCCTCTGAGTAAACATTGCCTTGTTGGCATCTGCAAGAGCCACACGTTTGGAATCACACCTTTGTGAGGGTGAAACCTTAACGGGCTCCTGATTTTCTGCACGCATCGCCAAGCGGGCCGTTGCAGCAATCAATTTGCTAGGAGGTCGTGTACGACCCCCAGTCCGGATGTTGGCTC